ATATTCAATGAAAATCATCACTTTGAAATATGGCTGGTAGGGTTGACTGAACAAATTTTGGTTAGCGTTTTACCATCTACATGATATCCTTAAAATGCATATAAAATTAGTTACAATTTCTATTGTTTTATCTTTCTTCTTCTTGTTTAGACATACGAAGCTACACAAGCGTGGAAGCGTTCCGGGTTTGGTCCTCAGCCGCATTTCCAATTTTTTTTTATTGATCAAATCAAGAAAGGCTCATTTCGTTTTACCGAAAATTTAGGAATATAGTAAATAATAACATAACATGTAATAGTGTTTGGATGCCGTCACATTTGCGACGGTAATAAACTTGTATAGAATTATTTGTAAATTACAGATTCAAATTGTTGCTCAACAATGGCTGCAAAAACTGTAACCAAATAATTATGGTAATCCTTTTTCATCTAACAATAAAACTATTTATATGGCAACATAGTTTCAGTAGTGCTGAAACGAAATTTTCAAAATCGTATTTATTCGAAAAGTATGTCCATGTAACCTAAATGAATATTGTGCTAGTGAATTTAAGAAATAGTAAAAAAATATTGACCCCCAAGTGACGATGCCTACACTCACGGCGAAATCTGAGTTTTATAATTTACCATTTAGTGGAATATGAGATAACAACCTTTGTTGTAAAACAACTTTGAGTAAAGCTTTAAAAACAATAAAGAAAACGGACTACTTTTAAAGTAATTATAACATAATTTGAAATCACTACGACAATTAAATTACAACGATAACTGATAAGCAATATTTAACAAAAATGAAAGCAATTTTCCACAACATTACAAAGCAAGCTACTCACTAAGTTAATAAATAACTAATTTGTCCACTGTTATATGACATAATCTTCAACGCTTTAATTACGACTGCGATAAACTAAACAATTGTTAGCCTGCAAGCGTAAAACTACAAAATTATACATATGAAAATTAAATCACCAGACAAACCCGAGACATTAGTTAAGAACTGGTTGCGGAATCACTGCAGTTATAACACTGAAATAGTGATCTACATAAAAGACTCGAAAAATTCCATTCACTGTTCTTCACTTGAACGAACTTGCAGACATACTACTTCTTAAAAATCGTAAAGGCGAAACTTACGTACTCACCTTTCTAATTATAAAAAAAGTTAATAATCCTATGAAGTAAGATTCATTTTGTAAAGCAAGATTAAGCAATATTTACACCTGCATTTTTTGTGTTCCATTCCAACGCCCGATTGTTTTCTTAACCGCGTTTCAATTTGTACGTTAATTCATTTTAATTCACGTGTCATTACCAAAAGTGAAATGCGATCATTTATGTTTTTTTTTCAACCTGTTGAACGTAGATTTGGACAGATTATTACCAACTCCTCGGCAAGCCGATAGGTAAGAGGGGGCCGAAAATTTGGATTTGAGTGTTGTTTTGTTATTTTTTGGCAGGTCATCGTTAGTGTTTGTTGACGGTGGAAGTGGAAAGTGAGAGCATTTTAGTTATTGGTACGAATAAAAAACATTTTTTGTCGTTAGTTTAAGATTGTGCATACATTGAATTATTAGGAGTTGGTCGTACCAAAGATATCTAAAAAAAAAAAACTTGGCAGTAAAGTTATCGTTAAAGTGTAATAATACTAATAATGGAAAAATAAATTAGTCCACAATGTACGTATGTAACTGCGTGAAGTGAATACAATGTGTTTAAGTTTTTGTAACAAATTTGAGACCAAATTTATGAAAAGTTGTGAATTAAGTCAGGTATGTATAAATGAAGATGATTGCATAGTGCAACACTAATATTACAATCCACAGCAATCTACCATTAAAATTCTCTCCAGGGGTAATTACTATTTATTTAATGTAAAGTATACAGAGCGTCTTCTCTAAACCGTAAATTATAGTGGTTATTTCACGTGCCTGTTAACTGAAATATTTAAATTAAGTATAATTTGTATAAGACATTTTGGAATAAAAAAATAAATGGTACAAACATTTTACAACTTAACTTTGACACCGAGCAAAAATCGAATTGTCCGAAATCTTGCAAACGTTTTAAGGTTATAGTAATCGTTAACTAAAAATTATCCGTTTATCCCCGCTCTTCTTCTAACAGTGCAAAATATTACAAATCTATACTTGCTGCTTATCAATGCATTCAGATTTTTTGGACTTATTTGTAAAGGGTGACTCAAAAGAAAATATGACTGAGGCAATTTATCCTATTCGTCAAATCAATAACGTCTCACTCCATCTTCCCGAACATTTGAGCATCCAGTACTCTTATTGTAAGTATTATACTGCATATACTAAAACTGATGACCTGTTCTTGCGAAAATGTTGATGACGTCATCACAAAATTTTACAATGGAAAAACTCACTTACAACAAACGGGTAGCATACACCACGTTTCTTTACCTTGAGTTTAACACTACACATATATGTTTATTTTAACTTATATTTACCACAACAAAAATAAATTTGCATATAAAATTTTATAATTTTTCAAAAAACCTGAATATGTTTGTTGTACTGTACTTCAGAGGTGAGGGGAGTTTCGTATAAACGACCTTTGACTATTTCCTTAATGCTGCTTAGCCACTCTTTTCAATATAAAACATATCTTATTTGTAACTAAATCTCGAAAGAACAAGATAACTACTAATTCTTTGACTACTTTTAATACAAAATTTATAAAATTTTAACTTTGTTTAGCTTACCTCGTAGTTCAAAATTAAGTGTATTAAGTGAACACCGGCGATGTGCATTTCAAGTCCGATTATTATGTAAGCCTACAAAAAGAATTATAAATAAATGACACGCTATTTTCTTTCACATATTAATATACCTCCACTTTCGCGTTCTGCGACTTGTCAAGCAACAAATCCGATTAAAAAAAATTGGTCGCATGTTATTTCGACAGAACTTCCAAATCCAGGCTTTTCGAAAAATTATAACATTTGATCTTGCGCTTTTTATTTTTTATGACAACGCTTATAAATTAAAGCAAAGTGTATATGTAATATTAACGTAAAGGTAAATATGCGTGTTAGGCGTTTGTTTCAAGAATTTTTTTCATTACAAAATTTTGACAAAATTTTTGCAAGGACACGTATATCAATTTGAAGAGATGCAGTGTAATACTAAAAATAACAGTACTGTATTCCCAAATTTTAGGGGAAATGGAGTGACTCGTTCTTAATTTAATCGCCTTGGATGAGTAATGCTAAAAACTATGAGTGCACTGATAAACCACAAGTCAAGGGCTATAATGTGCTGCATATTTCAGACAGGATTTATTAGGCAAAATTTTGAGAATTTTGATCAATTTTTTGTGAGGGTACAAACGAACAAATCTTGATTAACGATTTACCATGATAACGATAACCTTAAAACATTTGGATTTTTCAGAGCATTCAATTTTGCAATCTCAAAGATAAATTGCAAATGTTGTTATACAATTTTAATTAGGCACTTTTTGGTTGGCATTTTACCATCTACATGATAGTCCTAATATACATCGGTCCAGTAGTTTCGAAGATTACCTGTCAATAAAAATCCGGACAGACGGCACGCAGGCAGACAGACAACCAGACAGACGGAAACGGGAAACCTATTTCTTCGTACTCTAGGGATCACGAAAGGTCGAGAAAACATAAGAGTAGGGAGTCGGCTGATAGACTCGATTACAATACTTCCTTAGCTTACGCTCGGGAAGTAAAAATGAAAATTTAGTAACTTTTACCGGAATAGATTTACCAACATTAACGAACACTATCAAAATGTATCTTATTTAAATATAAACAACCGGTAATTTTTCACCTTGGATCACATGTTTCATAAAACTAACAAACACGTGGTGCAGACGATTGCATAGCTGCATAACATACACTACAATCTGTGGAATGTGTAACTGTGAACAAAAAATGCGCTCAATTTTAAGTTCATTCTGTAGCTGGACAAACAAGTAGGTAGTTGAGCAGGTTTTAGACTTTTTGCGTAATTGATAATAACAATTTGTTTTTTGCTAAGGCCAGTCGCTACGTTTTTTGAGTGGACTTTTCGGTCTACATGTAATATCTCCGTTATTAATAGACCTATGGTTTTAAAATTTTAAATATATGTTGTTCATAACTTTCTTTGTATAACGAATTTTGTTAAAAACAGTTTATCATCATATTTTTAAAAATCAATATCTCAATTATTAAAGGAAATTTCAGAACATGGTTTTCAACACTGTTTTCAGCTTACAAAACCCCAGAAATCATACCAGATATATCGTAGATTTTTTATTGTTAGAAACGATACACAGGGGTTCTCATTTTCGGAAAAGCTGGATGTTTTATTGCACTCTAAGAGGGAGAGAAGTTCTGTCGAAATCAAAACCTCGACACGGATTCATAAATAACACATTCAGAAATATGTAATTGTATAAAATTTAAGGCACATTTATTCGACAAAATTGTATAATGACGTCATCAATTTTTAGGGGGTATCAACGAAATAATTTTAATAACGACTTATTATGCTTACGATAGCCTTAAGACGTTTGTAAGATTTCAGAGCAAAGTTAAATTGAAAATGTTACAATATTTTGATTTTTTTCCCAAAAATTTGGATGTCTAGGGCAAAAACTCAACACAGATTAATAAACCACATGTGTCGGAGTATCTTATTCTGTAAAAGGGGAATGATTATCCAAATTTTGGTTAGCGTTTTACCATTTACACGATATTCTTAATATATATACACAATTTGACAATAATCGGTCAAGTAGTTTCGCAGATTATCTTGTTTAATAAAAATCCAGACAGACGGCAGACAGACAGACGGAAAGAAACAGGAGAACTATTTTTTCGTAATCTAGAGCTCATGAAACGTCGAGAAAACAAAAGTAACCAGTCATCCAATGGACTCGATTACAATACTTCCTTAGCTTACGCTTATAGTCTAAAGAACAAAACCCTTATGAATGCAAGTCGATCTTTTCTAGATAAAATGAATTACGCTACACTTGCCATCGTCTGCTTTCTCTTCTCACATACCAAACCTGATGACGTTGCCCTCTTGGAGACCACATACAATCAACTATCCGGAGTCTACCAACGCTACCTCAGCAAAAGAGGCGATTCTGTTCAACCTATTCCATGGAAAAGTATGTCCCAACCAATAAATATGATGCCCAAGAAACGCATCTGTAAGTATAACTTGTCTCTCGTCATTTCATTAATTCGTTATTTTAGCCAACGAGTATGACTTCATCATAGTAGGCTCAGGTTCCGCTGGTTCAGTTATTGCTAACAGACTATCCGAGATAAGTGACTGGCGAATATTGCTTCTAGAAGCAGGAAAAGGAGAAAATTTATGGTCTAGACTACCGTTAGCAGCACCTACAATGGCATTTACACCTTACAACTGGAACTATTTGGCAGAGTACCAACATAACATGTCTCTTGGTTTCGAACAACATCGGATGTTGTGGCCTAGAGGAAAAGCACTTGGTGGTACTAGCGTGATCAATTTCATGATCTATACTCGAGGAAATAAGTGGGACTTTGAACGATGGGCTGCTCAAGGGAATCCCGGATGGTCGTACAAAGACATACTTAAATACTACATGAAATCCGAAAATTCGAAATTGAAAGAAGCTGACTATCGCTACCACGGTAACAGTGGATACTGGAGTACGGAAGACATTTACCGATCAGAACTGGTACGTAGATTCGTTGAAGCAGGACAAGAACTTGGTTTGTCTCGAATCGACTACAACGCGAACGTTGAATCTTTTGGAATATCTCCCATTCAAGCGAATGTTGAAAGAGGTCGAAGACACACGGTTGCTAGAGCTTTCTTACACCCAGTGCGCCAAAGACCCAATCTTCATATTCTCACATCTGCTTTTGTTACAAAGGTTCTGATTGATCCAAACACAAAAAGTGTGTACGGTGTGGAATACGAACGAGGTGGTCGAGTCTACAAAGTGAAAGCAAGCAAAGAAGTGATCCTTTCGGCTGGAACTTTCAATTCTGCTCAACTCCTCATGTTAGCAGGAATTGGTCCTAAAGAACATCTCCAGGAACTTGGAATTCCCCTCCTTCAAGATCTTCCAGTCGGAAGAAATTTACACGATCACTTAACTTTCCCTGGCCTAAGTTTTCTCATCAATAGAGAACTCTCCTTGTCTGCATACCTTTTGCTGAATTACACTAGCTTCTACGATTTTTTTGTTAACGGTAAAGGTCCATACACGAGTCTCGGAGGTGTTGAAGGAATAGCATACATCAAAACGGAGTTATCTCAAGACATTCAAGATATCCCAGACATCGAACTACTCTTCATGGATGGTTCTTTAAACACTGACTATGGTCTCTTCAACCGTCGTTGGATGAATATACGTGATGATATCTACAACACCGTTTTTGCACCGACCCACAACATTCCATCGTGGACCGTCTTCCCTATGCTTCTTCACCCAAAATCTACAGGGTACTTGAAACTGAGGTCGACCAATCCACGTGATTATCCTCTTTTGTACGGGAACTACTTCACTGATCCCGAACAACAAGACATTAACACATTTGTAGCCTCCATAAGGTACATCCAAAGGCTAGCGCGGACAAGGGCATTTCAAGAAATAGGTTCTCAACTTAACCCAACTCCAATACCTGGCTGTGACATGTATGATTTTGATAGTGATGATTATTGGAGATGTGCACTTCGATCAATTAGTGTTACTCTTCATCATCAAGTAGGGACTGTTAAGATGGGGCCTCCACATGATCCTACGTCTGTAGTTAATCATGAGTTAAAGGTTTATGGGGTGAAGAGATTGCGAGTTTCTGATTGTAGTGTCATTCCTTTTGCTGTGGGAGCTCATACGAATGCTGTAGCGGTCATGGTGGGCGAAAAAACAGCAGATATTATTAAAGAAAATTGGGGAAAACCGACATACTGAAGACTGATTATAAGAATTGTATATTTGAGTCATGAATTCTAGCATAAGTAAGGTGTACCTCACAAAATATTTTTACATGAAGAATACCTAGGCTTTTATGAATTTATATAAAAGCTTCAGCCTTTTTTTTGTGTTCCACCAAAGCTAATGTAAGATGCTCTAGGAAAACTGCATCGAACAAATGCGTAATAAAATGATTCTATTTTTAGTATTTTTGATATTAAATTGTAGCCATACTATCTTTCTCTTTTTGAATTCCTTATTTCAAGAAAAAAGTATTAAGAGCAAAACATCTAATACGCCAAGATGGTTATAAAATATATGTTAGCTCTGAACTTTGAAAAAAAGTATGGGACTAACCCCTATGTTCACTTTTAAACAATATACATCAATGCATGCTTGTATTCTAAACATGCTAATAGTCTAATTCTTTCGAACGATAACCATAGAGTCAAATTTAAGCATGTACCGAGAAACTGAGAATACATTTTTCCCTTGGATTATCTGTCACATAATTGTATCAGTGGTGAGATTGTCACCTCTACCCCTCTCAGAATATTTCACTTGTAATAAGTCTTGTAACGAAGAACACAATAAACCATCGAAAGGACAATACGTGTCTTAGTCATCCATTCAGACAGTACTTACTAATTCCTTTGACCTTTGTAACACCACTTTAATTTAATTTCACTTGTTTCTATATATATATATGATCTAAACTTTTCACATTTTTGGTACATGAAAATTAGACAAAATCTTTTCGTTAAAAAATATTGTGGATGTATTAATTTCAGACATATTTTACCCCACCTTCTTCTACGGGGTGTTTTAATATGTACTGTTTTATTTTGCTAATGTGGGATCTATGACCTTCATGTATTTTCATTATTGCGGCTAAAAGTAGCATAGTTTCGCCAGCTTCCCCAGACATTTTCAGATTTGTTCTTTAAACCGACATTTCACTTAGTAGGTATCTTTATGAAATTTAGGTCTCGAAACTTTTCTTCAGTTTATTAATACTATGCACCTCGAACTTTTAACTTACCGTGCATCAGACACAACCTTGAAAAGTGCAACCAGTTGTAGCCTTGGCACTTGTAATTCCGTTCATCAAAATATCCAATCTTGTACTAATTTGCTCTTGTTTTAAATGGTTTTGTTGTATATATTTTACCATCGAGGCTTTGTTAAAACATGTTACACTGCTATCAAACACAACAAAGTGTACTCAATAGTCACTTCACATCAAGAACTTCCTCCATTTATAGGTAAGCGAGCGCATTTTTTTTTAACAAGTAAATCGGCAAACTCTATTTCTTGGTGTTTTACGGCTCATACAATATAAGTTTCTGTTTCTGTCCGTTTGCGTTTCTGTCGTTTACTATAATTATAAAAATCGTAACTGATTATGATTATTGATCACATACAAATTTTAAATTGACGTTAACATAACTTTAAAGATAATAATTTGTCTATCCATACCTTGTAAACCTGGTAAAACCTTACTAAGATATTTTTGTAAAATCATCTAAAATGAGCAGCATATAATAAAATACCATTATTATTCTTAACTGAGTAACACACAGTAATTGATATATCTAACGATTATGAAATACTAATTACAATTATTTATTTATCTTCTAAACAAAATGAGTCAATTTATTTTATTGATTAAATCGGGAACGACTCACTTCACTTTCAGTTTCCCAAAAATCTGGGAACACAATAATGTTATTGTTAGTATCACACTGCATACATCCAAAGTGATATACATTTCTTACAAAAAATTTTATAACTTACAAACTTTTAAAAAGGAAAAAAAACTCATTTGAAACACGCGCGTATCACGCTTCTTTACGTTTACTTTAACATTACATACATATATTTATTATAGCTTACATGAGTTCTCATACAAAAGATAATTCGCAGAATCAAATTTTATAAATTTTCGAAAAAGCTGGATATGTTTTATCGTACTCTAGAGAGGGAGGGACGTTCTGCCGAAATAAGATTCCACCAATTTTTTTAACTTTTGAAAATTTTTAAATCACGTGTTTTTAAAAATCAATTTCTTAATTATTTATGGGAACTTCGAAACACAGTTTCCATGAGTGATTTTTTTTTCTGGCAATGAGATACAGTAAAAGAAGCTTGTGTCGTAGAAGCTACTACAAATAATTGAGATTTTGATTTTTAAAGATATATAATGGAAAAATTTTACAAAAATAAAAAAACATTGGTCTCAAGTTATTTAGACACAATTTTCGTCACACCTGAAGTACAAACAAATACAAATTCTTCGAAAAATTCTAAAATCTAATTTTGTGAATTTTATTTTTAATGATAACCCCTGTAAGTTAAAAAAGGATAAGTGTAGACTCTTAAAGTACAGGTAAAGACGCATGCTATGTATATATTCAAGTGAATTTTTCCATAACAAAATTTAATGATGATGTCGGCAACATTTTAGGAAAACAGTGTGAACCGTCCTTGATTTGATCAATAAAAGAGATATCCTCCTTTATTAATTTTTTTGTCACCTGTATCAGTAATTCTAAAAAATATGAAAGCATAGAAACACCACAAGTATAAGTATTGATAATATTTTGCATATTTTAGGTAGGATTTATTCAACAAAATTTTGAGATGGCATCATCTTTTTTTTTTCGAAGAGACAAACTGATATTTTTTTTAGCGATTTATCGTGTTTACGATAATCTTAAAACGTTTGTAAATTTCAAAGCACTCAATTTTGCAGTTTCAAAGTTAAATTTCAAAACGTTAGATACAATTTTGACTTTTTTCCAAAAATCTAAATGTCTAAAGTAAAAACTCAACACAGACTCATAAACCACAAGTGCAGCAGTATGTTATTTTATAAAATTTAAGTAACATTTACTACTGCAAATTTTGGAGAAGATGTCATCATCCCATTGGTGATGGGGATGATAAGACAAATTTTGATTACCATCTACAAGATATTCTTAACGTACTTATAAAATTTGATAACAATCGGTCCAGTAATTTCGGAGATTACCAATCTAATAAAAATTGACAGAGATGACAGACAGACGAAAACGCGAGACCTACTTTTTCGTACTCTAGGGGTCATGAAACGTTGAGAAAATATGAAGGCAACCATTCGTCGGATGATGATAAACCCTTTTTAACAAAACTGTCCTAAGTTATAGAGAAAAGGTTGTGGAAAAGTTATACTTAAAATTTCACAACAACAAGGGAGGCACTGGCCTTAATGTTTTCCAATTTTCCCAAATTTCCAGAAGAACTACCTTTAATATTTTCGAATTTTCCTAAATTTCCGGAAACACAATAACAAACAATCGATACCTTTCAGAAACGATAAGACCGATAATATACATAGATTACTTAGAGACCACATACGAACACCCGTCACAAATCTACAAAACTACCGTAACAAAAGAAACGACGATGTAAATAATCTTGCTACATGGAAGGATCCCAGAAAAATGATGCGCCTGAAATCTACATGTAAGTACAAGTTTGTCGTCTCTTCGGAATAAAAATTTTTGCTTTTAGTCAACTTTATCATAGTAGGTTCAGACTCTGCTCGATTAGTTATAGCTAGACTTTCCGAAATAAGTGACTGGAGAATTCTGCTGCTAGAAGCTGGAAATGGAAAAATGTGCCTTACGCCCTATAACTGGAACTATATAGCAGAGTACCAATGTAACGTTTTTCTTAGCTTGGAACAGCATCAGATGTTGTGGTCAAGAGAAAGGGTACTAGGGTGATCAATTTTATCATTTACACTCTAGGAAATATTAAGTGGGATTTTGAGCGATGGGCAACTTAAGAAAATCCCGGATGGTTGTACAAAGGCATACTTAAGTACTACATAAAGTCCGAAGGCTGATTACCGTTACCATGATATTAATGGATACTAGAGCGCAGGAGACATTTACCGGTCGGAGTTGGTGCATAAATTCATTGACGCAGGCCAAGAACTTGGTTTTCCCCGCATTGACTACAACTCCAACGTAGGATCTTTCGGAGTATGACTCATTCAAGCGAATGTTGAAAGAGATGGCTAGCGCCTTCTTACACTCATTTTCTAGAAAATTTGAGGATACAGAGCTCTTATTATTGATATTATACTGCACCCATTCCAATTATATGTGTCCTCGATAAACTGTTGACGACGCCATCACAAAATTTTGTTGCAGAAAAACTTGAACCAACGCACAACATGCTCTTTTACCTATAGTTAACCAGATCACACATATCTTTATTTTAACTTATAGGGGTTATCATGAAAAAAATTTAATTTTAAAAGAGGTGTTCTGTCTGAATAACTTTCGTCAATTTTTTTGTTACAAAATATTTTCGTTGTATGTTTTGGCAAACCCTTTACCGTTCACATTTTTTCGAGGGGTTCTAATATATACTTTACTATTTTGGTAGTATCAAACCTATGACCTTCATACATTTTTCATTCTTGTAAAAAAAAAATCTCATTGGCTCATCGACAAACATGTTTACATTATTTCGTTATTGCATGTATAAATTAAATATATTGCATATTTAAATGCATTCTTTAAACACGAGCCACGTGAAACTGCATTTGACTTTCTTCAGTATCTTTATGAAATTTCAGAATTGATTTTTTTTTAATGCATCCACACTGTAATGTTTTGCTATCAAAATTGTACTGATTTATCAGCAAGGACAAGTTTCATAAATGCGACCAGTTTACATCCTTGGCACTTAGAATTTGATTCGTTTAAATATGAAATCTGGACCTAATTCATTAATTTTTTAGATGCATTCTGTTTTTTGTTATCACCAAAATTTACATACACAACAAGGATGTGGGGATCATTACTTTATTAATATAAGTGATGGTGCTATTAAAGACAACCCTGCTCAATAAAGTGTGCCTACTTCCATACATATATAGGTAAGTAAACGTCACGTTTTTTCAAAAAGTAAAGCAAAGCTACCTGCGAGTATATTTTACACACCAACTTGTCGACTTCATGTTGTCCATGCTTCATAACTTATACAATACGAAAATGGCGGTTTGCATTTTTGTCTGTCTGTCAATTTGTGTGTCTATAGTTTTCTATCGAACTATAGATAACCTCTCTTAAGTTACTACATTCTATAAAAGTCGGATTCGATTATTTTGAAATTTTAATAAATTTTAATATTATCTAAAAGACGATTTGTCTAATCCAACAAATTAGTGATGTCTTCTTCACATATTTTCCCAAAAATTTTTGGAAACAACATCAATAACAAAGCAATCGATATTTTTCAGATACCATGCAGTACACATCAGCTGTCATCATTTTTCTCCTTCTCTCACTCAGCAAATCTGAAAATATAGCCTTTTTAGAGACAGCATACAATCACCTGTCACAAATCTACGAAAACTACCTTAACAAGAGAATCGATTACGCACATCTAGTAACATGGAAAGATTTATCCCAACCCGGAAACATGATGCCCTTAACATCTACTTGTAAGTATAAATTTATGTCTCTTCGCAATAAAAGTTCTTGCTTTTAGTCAATCAGTATGACTTCATCATAGTAGGTTCAGGCTCTGCTGGATCCGTTAT